ATATTTAGTTTTCTTTCATCGTGACAAAATTATCTTAAGGTTTCAAGCAAAAAGCAGGTTTCCAACATTCCCATCTAGGAGGACCCTGTTTCGATGGCTCAGGTACCTTCACTTCTGCCCTCTCTATAGTCTTCCACAGTCCTTGTGTCTCCTGCTCTGTCCTGGCATATGCCATTTTCCTCCTGGCCTCACTTCGTAGCCTGAAATGCTAATCTTGTTGGCTGGAGCCAGTCCAGGCTCAACAGTGTGGCAGCAGCCAGCAGGAGGCTCCGAAAAATGTCACAAGCCCAGAAATAGCAAATTAATCTTCATCACACAACCTCCAGGGCAGGGAAAATGGAAGATGGAGATGAGAGAGAAGGGGAGAAATCATTATAAATTAACACTCCTCCTCACTAACCAATCCCTAGTAAGCTGGGTCTCTAGAATTAGATCATGGTGTCCTAGTTACAACCCCTATCTCTCCACATTAAATCCTCCAGATAGAATTGTGTTCCATTCATTCATGACTGAGCAATCCTATGACTACTTTAGGGACGTTGAGAATGTAAGGACATTTTTCCATACGAGATCATTAGGAACTTTAGATAAAGCATCAGACCCATCTCTGGAGGTCATGAGTGTCAGTGGCAAATCAAACAGCTGGAGGCTAGAGCTCCATGAGAATATTTCAGGTGACATCGTTAGAACTGACCCTGCAAGGTGAGCAAACCATCTCAGAAAAAGGACTTAAAGAGGTCAAAGCGGAGGCACAGCAGTCATCTGCTTTAAGTAAGAACATGGAGGGTTTATATGGTTCATCTTCCCGGCAGGCTGGTCAGTGTTTAGCATGAAGGAAATGCCATTTGATTTTTTCCAGCTCAAGTACTTGGATGTATCTCATGGTACTCTGTGCCAGTTCCAAGATTATTTGCTGCTGTTTTATCCTTGGTAATTTCTTGAAGGGTTATTTAGCAAGAAATGCAAGCAGATTCTTGCACGAGAAGTAAAGCCAACGTTTACTTTGCGGTAGCATGTGGACCAGCAAGAACCATATAGTCAAAATATATTTTGTCTAATATTAGAACACAACATCACAAGCACTGGTCAGAAAATGAAAATCTCTCACTACTGGCTCCAGTGGCTTTTGAACTGGCTTAGGCAAATCCATTCCTCTCACAGTAACGATTAGGGCTAAACAGCAAAGAGAAGGCCTAGAGGAGAACAGTGGTGGAGACAAAGAACAGGCGCAAAACATCGTCTTCAGGTTCTGCCTATTAGTCTCCAGAGGCTTCCAATTAGCCAGTTTCAAAAGAGGTTGTGGGACTAGGTGGTTTAATTTAGCCAGGAAGTTCTTTTGAAGCATTTTGGTCCATCAGATGGTATTGAATTGAATTGAAAAGATGCCTAGAAAGGGCTTCAGTAGAGACTTTAAAGCCCTGGTATATCTTTGCAGCCAGCCAAGACTGGAAGAGTGGAAAATAAGGTGAATCAGAACACGAGAGCTTTTTTAAAAAAATGCTATACTGCAGCACAGAATCTGAAGCTTTGGGGTTATGGCAGATGAAAAGGCAGAAGAACGTAAACCGGGGTATTCATCTCGCCAGATTGTCTTCAGAGCTGCCATATTTAAACAAATAAATAATCCAGCCCAAGTTGCATTCTAGTTCACTTCTCTCCCAAGTACAGTATGTCTCTAAGCTGGTATCTTACGTATATCACCTGCCCCTTTTTCGGTATCTTTGTAACACCAAGCTCTGGCCCCACCACGGCCCTTGCTTCAAGCATGGAAAAGGGGGATGATTGCCATGTAAGGACAACGAGCTGGTGAAGGGAGAATAAAACCACCTGAAGAGCTCTGGTTTGATGATTTCTCAAAGGCCACAAGGCCAAGTCAACTCTCAGTGGCTATGTGCATTGAGGATTGAGTACCGAAGAGAGAAATTCCACTCTACTGTATCTGCAGAACCAACAAGCGCACTGAATCCTAATGCTGCTGCATTGCCCTCCCCCTCCCCATGCCAATGTTTAAGGAAGAAAGCCAGCCACGGTAATAGAAATCAAATGCTTCTTCACACTCCATCTCCTTCCTTTGCTACAAGCTGGTGCGGAAAGATGACTCAATCTCCCCCAAAATATGCAGGACCTCGCTTCCAGCCCCTTCCTTTAATTTCCACGCAACGCTATTTCTCAACAACTCTTGTTCTGATGTGAAGACCCGTAAGCCTTGACCAACCTGCCCATCTCTCTCATTTTCAGGCGCACAGATATGCGTGCGGATATATTGTCCTGCGTTCGTGTTCAGAATACTGAAGCTTCCGTAGAGGAGCAGCCCCCTGTTCAGCAGTTCACCCATTTATAAATGCATTCATGGTTTCCCTCTCCTTTGCTTGAAATTAGTAGATTTTGCAATAATGAACTAGATGGACTGGCAAACCAACTAAGACCCCTAAGGCTGCAAGGAAGAGAAGATGGCAACTAGCCTAGAAACCGAGGAGGTAGCAAAAGCAGCTTCATCACGTTTTGATCCTAAGAGACTGGAACACAGAAGGAGACCTGGGAATTGCTGGGCGTATGATAAATGACAGGCGGAAAATGAACGTAGGAGAGAGATAAACAGGAGATGTAGAGGAAACAAAGCAGGAAAGGGATCTGATGCTACAGAAGGAAGCAGGTGAGAAAATCCAGCGGTGCAAAACAGCAAAAGCAGAGAAGCCGCGGCTGGCCCCACGTTTAGCTCCAAGCCCTATTTCTCCACCCGCTCTCAGCATTCCCGGGGAATGGATGGGATGGATTAGAAGGCAGGAGAAAGAGCTGCGCTCCAGCTTTGACCAGATGGGAGAGGCACGGAGGGCGAGCAAAGAGCTTCCCAGCCACACACCCACCCACCCAGCCCAGCCCTCTCCTTGGGGAGTCCGGGCGCCTCAACTCGCTCACCTTTGTTGCCGAGGGCGCAGGAGACCAGGAGGAGGAGGAGAGGGGCGGAGGCGAGGGGCATCCCCCAGCCCATTTTAGAAAAGCCTCGCAAATACCGCTTCGTGGCCGGGAGAGGCTGGGTCTCGCTCGCCGAAGGAGAGAGTGCCTTGACGGCTGTCGCTACGAGCTGCTCCCACCCAGACCCAGGGGTCGGCTGTCGAGGCACTGCCCGGGACGGGGCGCCAGCTGGAGCTCCCGGACGCCTCCTTTCTCGGGTCCGGCCCAGCCTCTGTACTGCAGCATGATGTCAGCAGCGTCTGACGCTGATTGATGGGCCCTCGCAGCCAATACGAGGGGCGCCCCAGCCAGGTGCTGCAGGAGAGGGAGGGGACCGAGACTTAGGGGTAGGGGTGGGGGCGTGGGAAGGCCAGAAGGGAGGGAGGGCTTTCTTTTGCTGTGGGAGGGGGAGGAGGAGGGCGGGGCACGTGCATGCACGCGAGCGCCCTGCCGCGTGCAGGCAGATAGAACAAGGAACTTTAGGGGGGCTTGCAGTTGGACACGAGGGGTCTTTTCCCCCTCCGCTTCCCCATCCCCGTTTTTCCCTCTGATTTGCTAGCAGGGAACTGGAGGAGTCAGGGAAAAGAAATGCACGCCCAGTTCGCGCACAAGTTGAAATCCAAAGGACGCTGCTGGAAGAGAGATCTGCCCCCCCCCCACCGCGATCTACTCTAGGTTGGGCTGGCCACAGAAGCATCTCTCTTAAACTGCTTTAGGGTCAGACAGTGGCGTGAGAAAGTTCGCGGTAAGGCCTCCAGGTGTCCGCAGCTATCTTGCTGTGATGGGGAGTAGGGAGCAAATGTTGGTTCGCGCGTGAATGTTCCCTGGCTGACATCTTACCGTGTGGTGTTGGCAAATGAAAGGGTAACAGCCCTCTTTCCCCACCACCACCCCCGTGAAATAAACCTTCCTGTCTCTGATGATCCTTCTCACACAAACTCCCATTTGCAGTCTATGGTCCCTTCAATCGGTAAACCAGATGCCTGTATCAGTGTTAGACCAGACTTCAGTTGGCTTTGGAGACGAGCCAGTCACTCCAAGGCAAAGAGTAATTTCCCCACAGGCACGTACAAGCTGGAATGACTGGAAGGGTGATTGAAATTTGACTCTGAATAATTCGCAGAACTATTGTCTACGGTAAGTTGCAGCCGTGTGATTCATTCACACACAGATCCCTCAACGGATGTGCATATGCATGTGTAAATCAGCCCGAAGAAGGTGCTAATTTTGCTGGAGTGGGGGAGGTTTGCTTTCTTGGGCAACCTAAGAGAGCTGCGATTTGACCGTGAGCAGAACAGTTTTCTCTTGGCTGTACATTCAATACACAGAGTTGAGCCACTCTCTCTTTTTACTTTCACTCCCCCACAGAGATACCATCGGCTGCCTTTACTAGAGTGTATTCGGGGTTACCCTATAAATGCATGTGATACCTTATAACGATTTTAAAATACAGTGTATAAATTTGAGAGAGGTAAAGTCAGCTATGGAACCCAGTTTCAGAATTCTTTCCAAAAACCACGAAGAAATGCTCTGGTGTGGGAAGGAGCAGAGTGCCTCTCCCTCTTCAGGACAACTTCTCCCACCAGCCATCTAGAAGTAGCCACAAAGATTTGCGGGGCTTCTGGGGACAGCCTCACCTACCATATCACTCCGAGAAAACTGGGAAGCCATTTTGATGTTTGCCATGACCAAGCCTGGGTAGGGGTTATCTCAAGTGAGCAACCGCTTCTCCTCATGCCTGGCATTAAACTGTCATTAAACGCTCTGGCTGTGTCTTCACAATGTGCAGATGACCTGTGTGGATTCAAATCAGAGATGACTGAATTGATGGGATCGCATAGCACAGTGAACTATTGCTAACTGCACAGACAGGGTTGCTCAACAGCATGGATGCGAACCAGTAGGTGCCCTTAGGCAGACAATTATTTGGAAAGAGGAAGTGAGCAGGAGGCAACAGTGAAAACTGCTGTCACTCTATACGGGACTATTGAAATAGTTAGAAATTTCTAACTGCTGCTCGTAAGTAGAGTAGTCTTCCAGTCAAGCTCAGCGGCTGGTGACTTCGTGGAAACATCAAGGCAGTTTTCTTGGGAAGAGCACGGAAGCGGTTTTTGGCCTTGACCGGGATGCTTCTCACATAGCTTTGGGATTTCCAAGTGGTCCCCTATCCACGTAGGAACCAGCCCGGACCCTGATTAACTTGCGCTTTGGTAAAAAGAGTGGAGCGATTGGCGATTTGCAAAAGTCGTCGTATTTCTGGTTTTTATTTTTCATTTTTCCTCGTGATAACAATCGGGAGAAAAGGAGGAGAAAAGCGAAACGCAAAGGCTCCTCTCGCGGCTCCCCCCGCCCGCGCGGACTGGAGCGGAGTGACTCTTAGGGCGGCGGGACTCGACCCTCCCGCGGCGCTACATAAAAGGCCGGGGGACGGGCGGGGAAAGAAGTCGAAGCGGCGGACCCAGCAACGCGCCGTCTGCGGGCTCTCTTCAGCTGTATCAGCTGCCGCCTCTTTTCTCTCCGTCCTCCCTTCTTTTCCTTCTTCCTTCCTTCCTTCTTTCCTCTCTGCGAGCCTTCCTCCCGTTTTCTGCCCGTTGTCTTTCCGTGCCTTCGTCCTCCTCTTGGGCCGTGATGCCTCCCAATCTCAGCGGCTACTACCGCTTCGTGTCTCAGGACAATATGGAGAATTACCTCCGTGCCTTGGGTAAGCAAAGCCTTCCTCTCCCTCCGTTTTGTTTCTTCCCTCTCCCGGCCGCCAAATCGCTCCCCTTCAGTTTGCGATGGTGGTGGTGAATGCTGGTGGGACTGGTTGGCGCCCAGAGCGCTTTTTCAGCTCCACATGGTTGGTTTAGGGCAGGGGTAGGCAACCTTGGCTCTTTTATGACTCGTGGACTTCAACTCCCAGAATTCCTGAGCCAGCACTGCTGGCTCAGGAATTCTGGGAATTGAAGTCCACGAGTCATAAAAGAGCCAAGGTTGCCTACCCCTGGTTTAGGGTAACTGTGCCAATCCTTGGATGTCAGTAATCTGGGCAGAGTTAAACTCCAGGATCTCTCTTGACCCCTAAAAGGTTATGATAATCTGGTCTTCCTAGGAGTTTTCTTGGTGGCACCAAGCTAGTCCACCTTGCCCGATTTCAGAACAGCTAAATGGAGATGCTCCTGGCCGGAACTTGGATGGCAAAGCACCTGGGTGGAGCAGAGCTGATCTTAAGACAGAATACAGGGAAGCTGAAATGCCTTGGCAAACCACTTCCATTTTATCAAGAAAATTCCTGGGCTGAGTCTACATCATCACCGGAGCAGTGCCTGATTCATGGAAAACTTACTCTTCCCCAGCAATTTATAATCAATATCAATTTATATTATGTGCTCATTGTGATCTTCAAGGAACACAGCACTTTCAAAACTGCTGTATCTATAAGGTAGATGGGAGAGAGAAATGTGCCTGGAGGCCTCCAAATTAATTCCTGGCAGAAGTGAGATTTAAATGGGGATTTCCTGATTTGTAGCTCAGGCATTTAGTCAGTGCTTTGTTTTTGTAGGGCAGCTTAGTGAGAAAAGACATGCTTATTTAAACAATTGGGTTAAAAGAATGGTTTGTCTTTGATTCATACTGGTATGTGTGTCTTTTACTACATTTGCTGCCTTGGATTGGTGGTGGGAGGAAGGGAAGACATAAGTTAAACTAGGAGAGTTGCATTCTTGTTTTCATCTTCCTTTATTACTTGGCCAAAATGAGGAAGAACTGAGGTAATGCATACAGGGGACCTGGTTTCATGCATTGTTACTTGTTGTTTATTCCCACTGCCTTTGGGGTTCACAGACAGCATTCTTCATTTATTTAACTTTTGTTCTTGTAATCTCCTGGTTAGATATCAATGTGGCCCTGAGGAAGCTGGTTTGTCTCCTGAAGCCAGACAAGGAGATCGTTCACACTGGTGACCATATGACTATTCGCACCATAACTTCTCTGCGAAACTATGTCATGGACTTTGACCTTGGGGTTGAGTTTGAAGAGGATCTGGGGCCAGTAGATGGACGCAAGTGCCAGGTAAGAGACAAAGGCTTTGGTGAAATGCAAGTAGAAATTGGGTCAGTGCCTTTCTGTAAGAAAGAGCTTCTCTGTAGAAGAAACACGTTGTTAACATTCAGATTCTTGGTCCAGAGTTGAATGGGATCAACAAAGTTCTTCAGAAACTGATTTTCTGCCAATTTCCAAGCAAGCAAGATGAAGTTAATTCACACATTAATTCAGTCTTATTTATACAACTAACCCAATTTTATGAGTAGTCAGCTTACACCAGGACTCTTAAAAATATTCTTATGAGCAGTCTCTGTGCTAGTTGCAGAATTTCCTGTTCCCAAGACCTACAAATCTCTCATGATAAACTGCTCACATGATGAAATAATTTGGACAAGTTTTTAATGCAAGCTAGAGCTTATCCATTATGTAAAATAAGCTCCATTTTAGTTGGCAAAACTTCTGACTGGTGGTAAAATGCATGTTGTAACAGACACTTAATAATCTCCCTTTCTTTCTGCAATGTCAGGCAAGCAATAAACAGGAAATGTATTAAAATCCTGATAACTCTGGATTGATTTGAGTAGTTTTAGAGGTAGAGCCAGGCACACCGCTACAGCTTAAGGAATACTTTAATTTATTTTGTGAATAAAATATTTCATTCATTTTCATAAATGAAATCATTTTCATAAATGAGAGATAGATAACCTATTCGTCAGCTAAGCCAGCCTAGCCATCTTTAAAATGCATGGCATTACAGTTCCCATCATTCTCAGCCACTTTGCATAGGCTAAACATGCTGTATTGCCTTAAGAAAGCTTTCTTGAAAGGAAGTTACAAGGCAAGGGAAAGGACAATGAAAAAAACCCTACATATATTTTAGGGTTTAAATAAAATGTGTCAAGTATTTAAAGTGCCTAAAATTATTATGACAATCTTCAACAATACTGGAAGTTAGCCACTATTTCTTCAGATTGCTGACGGCGTTCAGAGAAAATGAATGGCTGAACTAAGAAATAAAATTTGAATTTTAAAAATGATTAACCCATATATGTGACTTTGAACCTTGGAAAGGTTAGCACTGAGTACGGTATTGTTAGTATGTCTACTATTTTCTGGCTAAGAGCTAAACTTCATACCCAGCTTTGGCTGTTTTCAAATCAGAAGAAAAAGTCTTAGTGGGATAGGTTGCGCATCAGTTGTAACCCACATTCAGCACATACTTCTCTTTCCATAGATCAGCCTTCCCCAGGCTGGGATCCCAGGGCCCAGAGGGTCTACAATTTAATTATATTGCTGTGCAGACTCTGAGTGTCAAAAGTTGTGATAATATTTTGTAACTGTACCTAAACCAAAGATTGTTACTGTAGCATGGATTTAGAGAGGGGCATTGCCTTTATTTTGTTTTGTTTTTCTTGGTTAAAGAATTGGGGGGGAGGGTTACAATCCCTTGTCTTGGATTGGTCTAGGGCAGGGGTAGGCAACCTTGGCTCTTTTATGAGTCATAAAAGAGCCAAGGTTGTCTACCCCTGGTCTAGGGTCCTTATTTCAAAATAAAGCTTACGATTGAAGATGGAAGACAGGATTAAGACTTCTCTCCCCTCCTCTGGAACAATGGCTTTCTTTTGCATTATTTTTTTACCCTAAATATTTCTTAACAGGCTCAGTTCTGGGGAAATCAGCACACCCTGAGGGGGGGGAAATCACAACAATTATGAAGACAGATGTTTGGAAACTTAAATTCTGTCATGTGTAAGCTTTAGTCATGAAGTAGAAAGGCAGTTTATTTGGGGTCTGCATCTATTGAGGTTTAGGCAGAATAGTTCTCATGGGGATTTGCACACATAAAACTTTCAGGCATATCTTCATTCCCATTTCTGTCTGTAACAAAACAACGGGCAGTTAAGACTTTCCCTTGGTGTCCTGGATGGCTGCTTGAACAGGGGCTGCATTACACTGAGCTGCTTTTATTTTAAAGCATGTTCTGTCTTGTTTCCAGCAGAAGGCCCTTTCCTATTTTAAGTGATGTCATTGCCCCTTTCTCTTTTCTCGCTCTCCCCCCCCCCCGTGCTCCCTCCCGCTGCTTTCAGACAACTGTTTATTGGGATGGAGATCAACTGGTGTGTGAACAGAGAGGAGAGAAACAGAACCGGGGCTGGAGGCACTGGCTAGAAGGGGATCAACTGCATCTGGTAAGGAGGAGGAGGGGGGGTCCCTAATCAATTTTTTCTACTTCCGCTCCCATTTTCAAAAGCACAGAATGGATCTTCTTCCCCACTTCCAGCTCAGAAAAACCAAGAGGTCGGTCAACTTCTGTGTGCTTCCTCAGGGAGGCAATGGCCTCTTGATAAAAACATCCTTCCCAAGAGTTCAAAAGTTCAGTCGGCTGAGCAAGGGAGCCACCCATTGTCCAGCACTCTTTTCTGAAATTTGATCACAGCTCCTGCGCCATCAGGAAAGGAGCGGAAATCAAAGCAGAGCATCCCGGTGCCTGACACTCAGAATTTTAGCCTTAGTGCTAGTAAACAACATGTTATTTGCAGCTGCCCTCAGGTAAATGGTTCCAATGGCAGTTTGGCAGAATGGGCTTTACGCGCGCCTTTCCGAGCAGTGTCTTCTCTCTGCAGTTCATGGCTTTCCCCTCTAACACAGGCTGCTGGGTCAAGTATGTAGGGAATGCTGACATCTGGGCTGAATAAATACACTGAAAAGCTGGGAAGAAAAACTGAATTGTGATGATTGTGCAGAGAAAAAGTGGGTGCTAGTACATTCTGAGAGATAGCCCGGTCTTACTGAAAAGTGTACCACAAATTTCCAGCTAGTATAAAATGCCTTGAAAGTCAGGGGTAATTTGATGAGACTATGAGAAAACAGATTATTGGTTGTATAAGGTAAACATCCCTCTCCCCCAATCTCCCCAGCCAATAGCCAGTCTTAAGCATTCTTTTCTTAAAAATGCTTAAGTAATGCTTTTTGCATTTTTAAATAACACACTAATTTACAAGTGTAATTTACAATAATGCTAACTTAATTATGAAGCCACATCTTTAATAATGAAATATTAGGGTAATAATAAGAGCACTAAATAAGGCATTCTCTTCAGTCTCAGAATAGACTGAATTCCCTATCTACAATTCTTCAGTGTTCTTCAGCTCTCTGGTACTCTCTAAAACAGTGGTTCTCAACCTGTGGGTCGGGACCCCATTTGGGGTCGAACGACCATTTCACGGGGGTCACCAAACAACGCAGTCCACCATTTTCCCCCCCCTTTTCCTTAGCTGTGCTACTCCCTTTTATTCTATTGGCTTTTGAAAGCCAATAGAATAGACTCTCTTGAATAGAGTCTAATTCTATTGGCTTTCAAAAGCCAATAGGAATTGTCCAGGCTGTCTCTGCCCTGCTGAGCCCGCCAAAAGTCCCATTCTGCAAACGGTGCTGCACCAGTTGAGCAGTCCTCGACTTACGACCGGTTGAGGGGTCGCGGGATTAAAAAGGTTGAGAACCACTGCTCTAAAAGCTAGAAAGTTAGAAAAGGTTAAATAAATCCAAGCACAACCAACTGTTGACTTCCACCAGGGGACAGTTAGGTGAAAATTCACTTGCACTTTTCAGCTGGCTGGGGAATTCTGGGAATTGAAGTCCACATGTCTTAAAGCTGCTAAGGCTGAGAAATATTGCTCTAATGCTGCCATCTAAGAATCTCAATAATTTTAGTCTCTGAACTTCATAGTTTTATGCCCCTTATCTATAGAGGAAAGCAAACTTGTGCAATAAGCCAGCTCTGGTAGGTATCGGCTTGCTCCAGAATCTTCCCCTGGTGACATTCCTGATTGAAACAAGCTGTTCCTGCACTATAGTACAAATCCTCGGATCATACCTTCTGAAAGAAACAGTAAAGTACTTAAGACCGTGGTGGAGGGGGACAAATCCACCTCAGAAGTTTTCCTTTGAAATTAAAGCGAATGGGCATGAATTCGCTTACATAATTTTTCTTTTCTTCAATGAATGTTGAGCTGCTCAACTTCCTAGTGGCTTGTCTCTCCTACTGATGGTGGTGGAGGGGCAACAGGTTTGCCTTATCTAGTTGAATCAACTAGATTCGCTCAAGTAGCTACTTTCAAAGGCAAGTAGGGGCCCCAACCAGGGTGGAAACTCGGCACAAGACACATACAGCAGAAATGTCATTTGGTTGACTCTTTCCCCTTGTCCCTGCTATTTTATTTTAAGATAACTAGATTACTTTTGTTGATTTGAAAGCAGCCAGTTGCTAAAAATATCCACAACAAACCTTTTTGTAGGCCTTTGAAGTTTGCCGTGTATCATCCCCTTTCTCCAGTATCTGACACAACAGCCTTGTGCTTCGAAGTCTTTTTGTGAATGTGTCCATTTTTCTGAATGTATCTATTTTGAGCAATACAAACAGTTTTTTGTAAACTCTTTTTTTCCGAGGAAATGTAGCTTGGGATGTTGTTTTCAGCATTTCCCTTTAATATATGCATGTAGAATTGTATATCTGGAAAACTGTGAATGAATGAAGAAGTGCATATATAAGGTTGTCTATAGGTTTGGAAGGTGCAAAGTAGAGATGTTCACACTGAAATTTCTGTTGTGTTTCTATTGATGGCAATTGTTTTTGTTCTAGGTCAGTGGTTCCCAACCTGTGGGTCGGGACCCCATTTGGGGTCGAACGACCATTTCACGGGGGTTGCCAAACAACACAGTCCACCATTTTTTTTCCCCCTTTTCCTTAGCTGTGCTACTCCCTTTTATTCTATTGGCTTTTGAAAGCCAATAGAATAGACTCTCTTGAATAGAGTCTAATTCTATTGGCTTTCAAAAGCCAATAGGAATTGTCCAGGCTGTCTCTGCCCTGCTGAGCCCACCAAAAGTCCCATTCTGCAAATGGTGCTGCACCAGATGAGTAGTCCTCAACTTACGACCGTCTGAGTAGTCCTCGACTTGCTACCGGTTGGGGGTTGCGGCATTAAAAAGGTTGAGAACCACTGTTCTAGGTACAAATAAAAAACAAACTGAACCTATTCGTTGGCTGGCAGATGACAATGTTCTCTAGGGGTTCAAGCATAACTGTACTTCTTGCTTCTTGGTTGACCTTTTTTCTTCTAGCGCATGACAGCAGAGAATGAGGTTTGTGTCCAGGTTTTCCAGAAAGTGAAGTGACCTCAAACATCGTGCCTACCAGTGAGATGTGCCAACTTTCAGATGGACCTGATACTGGACACCAAGCCAGATGGAGAGTCAAGCAAACTATTCATATCTTTGCTTAACCTTTCATCTGTGGATTAAAACAATAAAGATGACCAAATGTGTGCATTTTTTATTGATGACTGAGACATATAAGCAATATGCTTTCAATCGTCTTCCTGCTTTTCAGATTAAGACTTCCATGCCTATCTATTTCTGTCTGAAGTGGCAGACTGTATTTTGATTGTGTCATTATAATTTGGAGTGGTTGGGGCTTCGTGCAGCTAATTATTTAACCAAACCCACACATCTTGCAATGTAGTTGCAGTTTGATCATCTTAAGAATATGAGTTCTCCTGACCATACAAAAAATTATCTTTGCAAATATACTGTTACACAGCCAGACTTAATGCTGGGATAAGACACCAGGTAAGTGATAATGTCTTTGCATTAAGAAAAAAATAGCAAGACACCATATGTTGGCAACCAAATCTTCTGTAGGTAAGGAGGGCTTCTGAATAGGTTGCAGAAAGGAAAGGACTTTATTTTTGAATAGGTAAAATTGAGCAAGTATTGAAAAAAAAAGGAAACTGGAACTTTAAGAAAGAGAAATCCTTTCAGAATAAGAGTTCTGCCATCCTAAGCAGGAGAAGGAAGTGATTTATCACATCAAATTCTCCGCCTGAGAACTTTGGTAAGAGGAGACTGTTAAATAAGGAATGGAGCCATGAAATCCTTTCAGCTTAGGAAGGAAATAGAGTAAGACTGATGCTCCGTAAATCAGAGTTGGATAGCACAGTGCTAACCTGGAAGCTTCTTAAAAGTTTGCTTTGGCCAGGAACAGGAATTTTGCACATGGCTGAAGGGAAGCTGAAGTTTATCAGTTGGCATATTGGATTTGCTGCTTCCTGAAGTGTATGGTTCTGTGGTTTTCAAGAAGTCTGTTCCTTGCTGCTGCTTTCAGTCCTGATTGATCGTCTTTCAAATGACTCTGTATGTCCCAATCACTGCCTTGATTCCACTGGCCCTGCTTGGCTAGTCTCCCTTGACTTCCTTGAAATAAAAGTTACTTCAAGCAAATCATTCAGGAGTATTTTCCAAAAAGTCAAAATGGTGGTTGCGATGGTGTGATTGAAGCCCTGCTTTGTTTTTATAAACATTGCACAGATGGCACATACAACAGGTTGAGACTGGATTGTACTATTGTGGCCACTACTTTTTTTTTAACTGCATTACGCAGACATCTCTGTCTTTATTCCTGCCACTAACATTTGGCAATTCTGCCTTTTTTTTTTTTTCTGTAACTGTTGAATCTACTTGTACAAATACATCTACATTTACCAAATCTCCAGCCGCATATATATCATTCACCCTCTCCACCATTGTTTACTCCCCCTTTCCCCCAACCCATAGAAACCACAAAGTAGAATCCCATGCTTGTAAATATGAATAATTTAGAAACTCTATGGAGGAACAAAAGGCATTCATCTTCATTGTTTCTTTTCTTAAAAAAAATGTTAGCCATTGAACTCTGATGTTTGTGAAGTGCTATCATGCCTGATAACCAACCTTATTAACAACAATTTAAAAAAAATCAACAATTGATAGCGCAACCATATTCAGCAGTAGGTCCTCATTAGGAAACTATCTACATAGAGGGAAGCATGTAGTGGGTACCTGAAAATTCTGACTTAGGCCCAGTACTCTTCCAACATTTTCATAAATGACCTAGATGAGGGCACAGAAGGGAAACTCACCAAATTTTCAGAGGACACTAAACTGAGGGGAAATGCCAACATTTTAGGTGATAGGCTCAAGCTTCAGAAGAACTTTGACAAACTTAAACCACTGGGCCTTACTCAACAAAATGCAGTTCAGTGCTGAGAAACATAAGGTCCTACACACAGGCAAGAAAAACCAAATGCACACTTACAGAATAGGTGGTACCTGTTTCAACGGTAGCAACTGTGAGAGGGATCTACTGTAGATGTCCTAAGAGACGGCCACTTCAGTATGAGCCGGCAGTGGGCTCCAGCTGCCAAAATGCTAATGCAATACTAGGTTGCATCAACAGAGGGATAGTATCAAAATCACATGACGTGATAGCACAATGATGTGATACTGCATTGGCAAGATCACACTTGGAATAATGTGTCCAGTTCTGTTCGCCACAATAGGAAAAAGATGTTGAGACCCTAGAAAGAATACAGAGAAGAGCAACAGAGATGATAAGGGCCTGGAAGCTATACCATAAGGTGAACAACTGAGGGAACCAGATACAGCTAATCTGACGAAGAGAAGGATCATGACAGCAGTCTTCCAAGACTTAATGGGCTATCACAAAGAAGAAGGGGTCGACCTATTCTCCAAAGCACCTGAGGGCAGGAAAAGAAGTAAGGGGTGGAAGAACATTAAAGAGAGATTCAGGCTAGAACTAAGGAGTAGTTTCTTGACAGTGAGAACAATTAATCAGTAAAACAGCTTACCTGAGGAAGTTGAGGTTCTCCATCACTGGAGGTTTTCAAGAAGACCCCAGACAACAATTTGTCCCGAATGGTATATAGGGTCTCCTGCTTGAGCAGGGGGTTGAGCTAAAAGACCTCCAAGGTCCCTTCCAACCCTATTATTCTATGTTCTATGATAATATTAGATTGTTGGGTGTAGCCCAGAGTCGCTTTCTGTGAGATGGGCAGTCATATACATTTTATTAATAAATATTTCAGAAGCAAGAAGGGAGGCTGAAAAATAATTCTAATGATCAGGAAAAGAGGTCAGTCTTTTATATGATTAAAAATAAACATCTATTAATCATTTGTGAAAGACTGGTTGCCCTAAAATGAAAGAATGATCATAAAGATGAAGTTTTGTTTCGCCATAAAATAAGGTCACAATATCCTATTTTTACAAGCACCTGAGGTGAACTTGAATTTTCATTTTGTTTTAGCTCAGAGTTGCTTACAATATTCAAAATACAAAATAGAGCTTTTTCCTCAAAGCAACTACATTAAATGCTGTGCAACACTAAGACAGCATTTTTTTCAGGCTGGGGGGGTTGTGCTTTGTGTTGAGTGGCATACCCTTAAAAAAATATTGTGAGAACAAAGAAACAAGTGGAACCAGACAAAAACGATTTTTAAATAATTTTATTCAGCTCTAAATGAGATTAATCACAGTTGCACAGGGGTTAATCCTGTGTTTAATCACCATTTTCTTTAAGACATTCAACACTGGGAATTTGTAGTAACATTTGGAGACAGAGGCTGTTGGGACTGCCTATGAGTCTCAGGCTATACCTCCATTTTAAATTATTACACTACTGTAACCTTGGAGCAACGTAGACAGTGAATCCTATAAGGAATTGGACATCTCTGTCTACACAAGAATAATATCCCTCAGTTAAATCTTAGATGTTGTGCATCCTTTGAATCTTTGAAAATGAGATGTGTTCATCTTCTCTCATTTTTGCTACCGTGAGCAAGGGTTCTTGCAGACCTGTGGCTCTTTTGAAATTGAACACATCGGCTGACATGTCCTACTTCCCCTCTGCTATCCCCAGCTCAGGTTTCTCCCAGCCAGGCATACAGATAAGCCTAGGAACAGGGCCACGTCAGCAAGAAACCCAGCATCCTCATGTCACTTGCAAGATTCATAGATAATACACTTTACCAACTATGCTCATCTCCAGCATCATTTGTGGCTGCTCAGCAAAAGAAGTCTGTCTGTTGTACTCATCCATGTAACAGATTGCCCTAGTGAATACTTTGCAAACCAATAGACGTATAATAAATGGACATACATTTGTGGACTGTGTAAGTTGAGTGGGAGTGGATCTCTTTGCCTCTAGGTTATTGTTTCTCTTCTTGCACTGTTTATAAATTCATGAGACACTGGAAGTGGTGGAGCTATAAATTAGAATGAGAGCCATGATTACAAGCAAGGAGCTGAAAAGCTGATCTGTTGATATTCTCTATTACTTATTCACCTGGGAAAAGTTATGATTTGTTGAAAGCACAGCTCCAGGTTTGCTCCCTGAGCAAAATGCTCAAGCATTTGGTTTGTTAAGGTTGAGAACCACAAGGGGCAAATGCACAGGGACCATGAAGGATGCTTGTCATGGGGGGGGGGTTAATTGTTCAGGTAGTCCCGATTTGTGACCGCCTCATACAGTAACTGTTTGCAGTTACGAGGATGATGAAAAAGTAACTTTGAGACTAATCCTTCCATTTACAATTTTTACAGGTCTGTAAAGCAATGAAAAGCTGAAGTAAGATCATAAGCATAGTCATGGTTTCACTTAGCAACTGCTTCATTTAATGATTGAGTTGCAATTGGGGTCACTAGGCAAGGGTTACCTATAATATATCAGGGCTCAGATATAGCTGAGGACTAAGGGAGAGGAATCACTGGCGTAAGGGCCTTATAATTGTGTCACAAGTCATTTTACACTGATGCAAGATAGGGCTAGCCATTTAGACAACATTATTACTTCTGTATGTAACCCTATGCACTGTTAACTTGAAAGTAAGTCCCAATGAGTAAGAAGTCACTGAGGCTTACTTGCCAGTGTACAAATGTGACTGAGTGGTAAAGCAGCCAACTAAGTAGAGAAAGCATCACTAAAATTAGAGATTTAGGTTAGTTTTCTTAAGTCAAGGTCACTTTGTCCAGAGAGCAGTAGTGACTTGAGCTTCTAGGGCTGCAGCTTTTTTTTTTTCCAGCCTAGCCAGAAAAACTAAAGTCACAAATCATGTAAGTTGTAGTTTACTTTGTCGAATGCCTTGCTGAAGTCTAAGTATACTATGTCCACGGCATTTTTAAAAAAATGCATTAAAATGGTTTTTTTAATGCATTAATATGCATTTTTTTAAAAAAAGCATTTTTTAAAAAAAGAATTGTCCTGGGGGTGGGGTTCCTGAAAGCTTGCAATTTATTTCCCATTTTACTTAAGATTTATATGAAGCTGTTGGAAGAATCAGGGGTAGGTTTAAACTCAGTAGTTACTACTACACTGATAGTATCCAATTATATTTCTCCTTTTCTTTGAACTCAAGTCATGTCTCTGCACATCTCTGATTTGTGAAGAACTGGATGTGGAAAAATAAACTAAACTTCAATTTGCTCGACA